TTCACCTTGTCGATAGCGTCCACCACTTTCTGGTAGATGTCCAAGAGCTCCTTCTCTCGCGGCGTGTCCTCCCGCCTTCTCTGCGCTTTGAGTGCTCGCTCTCGCGCTCGCTATCGCGCTTCTCGCTCTCGCGCTCGTTGTTCCGGTGTCTTCTTCCTCTCCTCGCGCCTTCTGTGCTTCAATCGTTTTTTGTTCAACCCCGCAAACCTCCCCTTGGCTCCATCCCCCGACGCCACCCGTGTTCCTCGCCCAGGCCCACTGCATCGGCCGCGTGCCCCGTCTCGTGCGCGGGCGGGGTCGGCGTACAGCCCGTCGAAAAGGTTCGTCCTCGAACTTTTTCGGACGGTCTCACCACTTGTACCGCTAGAGGCTGCGTGCCCGGCTCCTCCCACAGCTGCTGTTTCGCCGGTGTCTCCCACAGCTTCTGCTTCGCCGGTGTCCTGAGGCTGAACATCATCATCAGCCTTGTCGCCGCTCTCTCCGTCAAGTTCGCCGGGGCCGCGAGAGCGGTCGCGGCTTGCGTCTAGTGCGTCGAGAAAACTGTCCTCGCCGCTGGAATAAAGAAGCTCTGCAGCTCTAGCCTGGTCATCCTCACCAAACCAATCTTCCAGCGGAACACCAACACCCGAACACACCAGCATATCGGTCTCGCTCTCGCTGCTGTCGCCACGGCTGGTGGGGTCATGCTCTTCTTGCGGGCTGCAGATCTTCTCGGCATCATGATCACTGCTGTCCGCACCAACATCTCCCACCTCAACATCCATCTCCACCGCACCTTCAGTCTCCATAATTTGAGGCGAACCATGCTGCCCTTCCTGCTGCTGAGCTGGGGGCTTCAGCCATGCTGCCAAGCTCCCCGACATCCCGGCGTCCTCCTTGCTCCACCGCGCTCGCCTGTGGCGATGCTGCGTCGACCGGTGGAGACGTTGCGCCGCGTTTTTTCGCGCAGGCGGCGCGATTTCGGGCGCCACCGCCATTGCTGTGCGAGCTGCTGCAGACACCGCAGCGCTCGCTGCAGAGCGAACCGCAGAAC